TTATTTTCTCGGCTTGACAAGTACCCTCTTCATTCTCGAGTAGCATTCATCTTCTTCACTACAATATATATGGCTGAAAAACGACAAAGAGACACCACCCGTTCCTTGGCCGCCTGTTTTAGCATCCCTCTTCATTGTTTTCTTCTACCTGCTGCCAGTTAAAGCTCAAGCCCTGCGTTGCTCCGTGTCATTGCACTCGGCCCCCAACTGCGAACCTGGTGGTCTGCCGACAGCGTCTCTTTGGGGTGATATTGGGTAATGTGAAGTGGCCAGGTACGGCCACGCTGGCATTTCTCCTGGAAATTTGCCAAAGGAGGTTCCGCTGGCCGACAGTTGCTGTGTCGTAGCGGTCACAGGTCTGGGACGCCTTGGTTGTGCCGCAGCTGCTGGTTCTGTCTATGCCTCACCTTGTCCACTTTAACAGTGGTGCATTCTGGAGGATGACACTGACGATGACGGGATGGTCAGTGCAGGCCTCGTTCATGCTGGGTTCGACGCTGGTGACTTCGAAAAGATGGCATCGTCAGGAAATATGGACTCATGCAAAGTGGCCGCATTATTTGCATATCACTGTTTTTGTTATCCCATCGCTTTTGTGTAGACATTGCTGCCAATTGTGCATTATGCACCGCCACCTGCTAGGGGGGGGGGGTAATTTTATATAAAAAGAAGAGAAAAGTGAGCTCCGTAACTGTCTCGCCGGGGGAGGACACCTCAACAGCAGCTCACGAAGGGGGGGGGGTAAAGCAGGAATCGAGAGGATAGGAATAAAAAATAAAGAGATAGAGAGAGAGGAAGGAGAGGGCGAGGCGCAGAGACAGCGAACGACGGAAGGTAGGAGAAGATAGCAAAGATGGAGACGGTCGCAGGAGCCGGAGGACGGGGCACCGCTGGTGAGAGCTCCTGTCGGCGACGGGAGATGGCGTAGGGATAATCCAGTCGGCCAGAGCTACGTCGTCGTCGTCGTCGTCGTCTGGGACTGGCGTCAGGAGTTGTCGTAGGACCAGGCCATTCGGCCAAAGCTGCACTGTCGTCGGAGATCGCGAGGGCACAACCGGTCGGCACGAAATCCAGGGAGCCCACCTGCTGCACTGAGCGACGACGTCTGTGCTGCTCGCAGTGTGTCAAGGGGCGTCGACGTGTCTGTGTAGCCAATCTGCGAGCCCTGAAGCACAGTTCAAACTAATCGGTAGAGCTTGTAAGATGGCAAAGGCCACAGGGGCCTAGGACTGAGGGCTCCACCTTCGCCGGAAAAAATATTTCGAATTTCGCATTCATTGCGAGGTAACACGTGCTCTTGCAGTAGTGTCTTTGTCAAGCTAAGGCTAAAGCTGCTGATTCCTATAGTTCCGCGTGCAGTAGAGCCTTCTTTGTCGGATGTCATGTCAATAACTGCAGGTATTATCTCCACTGGCAGGTCTTCGCTGACAGTGACTTCTTTCTAAATAAGCACCTCAATTTTTTAAAGGAGGCGACGCTCAAAGCGTGCGGGGCAAACGTCCACCTTTAGCATAACATCTTTTTACGCGAAGAGTCCGGGAAAAACGTGGTACTCTATTTGTGAACTGAACCCAATCTGCTAGTGTATATTGTTTGGTTTTTATAAAATAAAACATCGTTGGTCCTGACGAAGTAAAACACTGAGGCAAGTATTTGCCTCGTGACATCACAGTTTGGCTTTTTTACGCAGAAAGTTTTGAGAGCAAGTGAATGTGTGATTCTGTGTAAACTTAGTGAGGTTTTGTTCCGTTATTTTTGCTATTGCTTTAAAGCGAAAGTGTTTTGTGCCGGGGTCCACCAAGACTTCAGTGACGGATTTCCGTCATGGAAGTGACGTCGAAGAAACTACGCACGATCAAAAGAATAAACGTTCTGTCACCGGAAGTCGAACACATTATCTCTGGTTCTGTGACTACACGTGCCGGGAACGCTATTCACTGCGCCGACGTCACATACTTCATACGCGTTAAAAATACGCCTTTTATATTTAGCACTGTCCTCTCACAGTGCTGTTGGTAAAGTGTTGTAATTCATCATGACCATGGGATCTGCGATCAGTTCCTTCAACGCGTCGCTTCTAAGCGTACGTCTATTCAGCACGTCCCTAGTAGAACATTAATTTTGTCAACGCGTTAACGAGCTTACCACAAGTATGCCACAAATATCGGTGTCGCTCATAGCGTCCATTCATGCCAAAAATAGCTGTGTGACACTCGCTGGCTTCGCCTACCAGCAACTCCGCCTCCCCACTTACGCTCAGCCAGCAAATAATCGCGGCCGGCCGAAGGGAAGACAGGACGCGCGTTGCCTTTTCCTCTGGTTCGGCAGTGATGTTCAATAACTCCAACACGCTGCGAGTAGCTGACCTCAGTCCAAGTTCGACGTTTGTTCAGTCATGCTCTTCTGGCAGTCACATCGCTTTCTCTGATTCCGTTCTCCCCGTTAACTACTACAGCTATACCACAAGCATCTACGACATCAACGGTTTGTTGAATCAATAATGATGGGCGTTAGTCGTCGGTATGTAGATGTATGACTAAGCATTTGCGTGAATGTATCAACGTTAAGCAATGCTGTAGTTGTCAAACACCAATAAACATGTGCAAGCTCTCCTATATCCATGTTCATAGAACTACTTCTGTAAATACGTGTTTTACTTTCGCGTTTTACCGCTTCACATATGATTGATGGAAGAACCAGGTTTTTCTCAGTAATCCATGATCTTATCAGTGCGTAAGTTACACACTACGTGTGCCCTATTATTCGCACGTGCTCCCATCCTTGCTACCCGGTGCAGCTGTACTCACCTGAATTGCTGTTACTGCAGTATGCAATAATCTTCCCCGTGTTTCTTAATAATTTTGTATTTTGAGCCTTTCATCAAAAAGGTTGTAAACTAAAAGCTTTTTGTTGCTTTCCAGATGCCATGCAGTGACACCTTCAACATTGTTGCATCCCCTAGTGATATTTCGGTTTTTTTGTAACTTATCTAGCGACGGTGCATTCCTTGCTGTTTTAGATTAGTATTCTTATCTGCCCGGTGCTCTTTTAAGCACTGTGAAATGTAGCCATGGCATTGCGGGAACTTCGAAGAACTATTGCCAGGAGACGTCAAAATCGTTCAAGGTTTTGAGAATTTAGGCGTTTACTTTCAAGAAAACGATGTCTTATAAAGAACCTAGAAGTAAGTAACTAGGAGATACACATACTTCACGTCAACAGTAGCACAGTTCAACCGGTCATTATTGGTGAAAGAAACTGTCATCCAGATGCCAGCATGCACTTTTCTACGTAGCACACATTGCCCTACTACCTTGCCGTGTAACATGACGCCTTACCTCCATTGTGGGAGCTTTCCTCTGGGAAGGAAACCAACAACAGCTCAAAGCAAATTTTCACAGCTTCCCACAAGCCGGAGAGTCATTCGTCTCCCAGACAAACCAACGTGCACTAGAGCACTGGATGCTAAAACAACACTGAAGTTCTTCGACAATGGAAATTACTTCCGGTTCAGACTAATAATGTAATCAATACGTACACTAAAATTAATTTCACGGCAACTCATTAGATTAGACCACAAACAGAGATTCTGCTACAGTTTTACACAGCCGCTATTCACTCAAAAAGAGCAGTCGAATCAATGGGTTCCAACAGTCTTAAAGTAGTTCCATCACAGAAGATGAGCGGAATAGAAAGTAGTAGTTCATTTAGCAAAGAGGAGAAAGAATAATTCCGCACGACAAAAGGGAAATTACGGCGTTGAAATCAGGTACCTGACGAAGTGCGCGAGTTTGACTGGTTCGGAAGATAGAGGGCATTGCCTACTGGTGAGATGTTAGCATAATAGAAAGTCGTTCCAAATGACATCTGCCCCAACTGTGGGATAAGAGCGATGGCCCTACATGCTATTTAGAGTGCTCGGCGGCGAAAGGCACATGATGTAGCACCTCTTTGGCTTTCACACAAGCCATGATAAAATCTAACGGGAGCTGTTCGCAAAACTAGACTTCACAGTGATCTTGTACGTACCATGGCGGCGACGTTGTTTAGCAAAAGCAGGCCGCAAGTCACAAGGGTGCCTATCCCACATTCCAGAAATAGGTCTAATTCTGTGAAATTACCTCAATGAGCAGCTGCAAACAAGCGGTAAAAAGGCTTTCCTTTGACGATGACGCAGACGTTTCTTCAGAGTAAAGAGGGGAGTGTTCAAGTTTCCCTGTTGTTCCGTTCTAACGAAGTGCACTTTCTAGTACGCTTGCAATAACATTCTCTGAATAGTGAACAATTGGCTCCATTTTATTGTTTCTTTAACTTCTACAGGTTTATAAGCACACAGATCAATTCGTATTGAGGTGCTCATTTTTGAAATGTGTGCACACTTTTTACTTGCTTTTTTTTAATGCAGAATGTACACTGACAATAAAACTTGCCCTTTTTTTCTTCGCTGAACACCGACAATTTGTCTTGCCTCTAGTGGATGGTGGTCGCCGACACCATATTTTGGTTGGCACGGCTTCACTCCTGAGCAATAATTTTCACTCCAGCAATCTTTAAAACGTCCTCTTTATGTGACCAGGCATAGGAAACAACTGCTTATTCCACGAGACAATCTATTTGTTTAGTCGTGGAAGCTGTCGGTTGTCATACTTGGGGGACTAAGCGGTGCCTCTCTGGGGTTTTTAAGTTGTGTTCGAAAGTAATTAGTTCAAAATTTAGCATAAAATAGTTTTGGATAATGTACTTGAAAAAGGGTGCTAAGATTATTTTTTAATAGCCATGTTAATGGACGTTAATAGCTGGGGAGTCGTACACTTGTGGAATGAACTGTGCTTAAGGGCACCTCCTAGTTTGAGCCTTTAAGATGAAAGCCATCAACTAGGCATCTCCGTCAACACCCAATTATTCTCTTTTAGCAGGATCTTTGTAACTAATGAGGTTCCTTGTGAGTGTGGTGGAACTTCCAAAGGCGTTTCTGAAACAGAGCATTAGTAGTGACTTACATGACGCCATCCGGTGGGTACTCAAATACCACCAGGGTCGAATCACCGACATATTCTCCCGTCTGAGTACCTTTGACGCACTTGCTCTTGCCTCCTAAATAAGGGTCGTTTTCGAAGTCTCGATGTATGAGATGCCACGACTGCTCCAGTGGGAAGCACTAGAACATACGCAAGGACAACATTCACGACGACTGAATGAATATAGGAGAGGTAGAGTGTTAAATATAAACTACATCCAGCTTTCTGGATGTAGTGTACAGTTAAAGCATGTCCAGTTTGCTACCTTACACATGGGGAGGAAAATAAAGGAGTAAAAGAGGGGAGAATCGAGACCCACACCAACGCACATACACATGCACACAATGCAGCGTTTCACAGGCGGTCGCCCAATTATGTTACCATCAAATAACAGCAGAAGAATTTTTTTATCTTATTATGCACCGTCGATCATTTTTGCGGAATGAAAAGCAAACAGCCCCGCAAGCATCAGTGAATACATTGCTTCTGTCTATTCACTATCTTCTAAAACAAAAACCGAAGGTCACGCAACCACATTGCGATGAAAGCTAAACGCTGTAGGCCCGTGTTCTTGGATTTAAGTGAACGTTAAAAACAATACCAGCAGGTCCTCGCTCCCGGAGACCTCCACTCTCACCTCCCTTATTATCATACCGTGGTTTAGGTAAGTTAAACAGCAAAAATGGTAATCAATAATAACTAGCTTGATCGAAGAAGTACCAAGAAAAAAATTTGGACAACTAAGCGCACAGCTGATGCCAAGACTGGAAACGGCGAAGCTGGTGGCTTTTTTCTCTTTCTTATCCTATCATTTCATTTCACACTCCGTTGGTACCATATCGTTGCATATGTGATTTTGCTATGCTGTGCCCTTTTCCATCCTCCTCACCCTTACTCTCCTTGCCTACGCCTTGCTGCATCACATACATACATTTTTATGGTGTGCTTTCTACCTCTTCCTTTATATCCATCTTCCTATCTTTCTTCGCATTCAATGTCGTCTGCTTCTTTCCATCTTTTTCCTTTTGTCTATTTCTGTCTTTTAATCTTTCACAATTTCTTACTTTACCGATTTCCCTCTTTTTATCATTATATTTTTTCTCGTTCTCTCACAGATAGCAACGGAAACATATGACTCCCATACATTCTTGTTCTGTTTGCATATCTAAATATTCGAATGGCTACGACTCTCGCCGTCGGACCGTGGTTGGAGTATAGCAGCCTGTTTTCGGACTCCACCTCACCACACAACTTTATTTGGATTTACTCATTCCTTCCCATCCTCCTCTTCATTTGTCTTCTCTCTTTTTTTTTCGTCCTTCCTCCAACACCTTGCCAGGTGACGCATGGTGGCGTTCATGGCTTGCCGATCAAAGGTGCAGTTTCTGCGAACGCCACCGCGCCTATAGCTCTAGCTTAAACAGCTCCATTGTTTAGCGAAAGCATGAGAGCCCAACCACGTTAACGTTGTTAGATAAGATGATTTTGTTAATCTCCCAGCACGTTTGCTAAAATGTCGTAACGTCGTTTTTACTAGTCTAGAAGAGGCCGTTCATTATCATCATTGTTTGCTTCTCACGAGCTGCCGCTCGCTCGGGGGCACGAATCCATCTATTTTTTATGTTCCGTTGAAGAGCGTTCTTTCATACGTGTTGTCTTTTGTCCTGCACGACAGCCTGGTAGCCGGCCGACCTTGAGGTCTACAACATAAAAGACTGTTACTGACTTTGTTGGTTCCCTCTGTAGGCAGGCATGATTTAACAGCGTGTAAGGCGGCTTGATGTTATAGCGCTCCGCATGTGGTATTTTTCTGTTCGCCTTTAAAAATGCTTCCGCTTGGGCTGGTTGGTATGGCACTCTGAAGTGTAACGATCGGCGCGCTGCTTAGATGAACAGAGATGATTGACGCAAGACCGCAAGATGGACAAAGAGCTTGAGCAAGGTTCTTGGCCGTTTTGTGTTTTTGTATCATTGGCGCACAGACAATCACTTGCAGTGGCACTAGCTCGCATAGGTCGCAGACCGGTGACGGTGGGCATCACTCTGCAATGTCGTCCAGAGAGGTCGTCGCGAGTAGAGGTGACGAAAGCAGTCCTCAGCTTCTTGACGGCAACGCACTCGGACTGGCGCTTAAATTCTAATAGTGTTAGGCTTACTGTGACGTGCGATATAAGAGCACGGGCTCTCCTCTCTCTTCCTCTCTCCATTCATCAAATTCCCTCTACCCTGTCTTCAGTGCAGGGTAGCGTACCAGTCGCTCTATACTGGTTAAAACCCCTGCCTTTCCTTACCCTCCTGTTTTGTTTTCTTCTGTTGTATCACTAGGCCATTCATTCGTCTCTGTTCATTCGTCTCTGTTCACCAATGCAGCGCATCGTCACACATTGGAATGCTGCTCGCACTCTCGTTTGTGTGTATGTGCGTGCGTGCGCACGTGTGTGTGTGTGTGTGTGTGTGTGTGTGTGTGTGTGTGTGTGTGTGTGTAAGCGCGCTTTCTTTGCCCGTATACATGAAAATAACCAAAAAGAAGAAGGGGGGTAGCCCGTATCACCAGGAGGTATAACGGGCTCAAGCCAATCTAACATAAGTGTAGAGGGGAAATTTCGAAAGTTCATTGTTTTTTTTATAAAGCCAATTAGTTCAAAGATATTAACCCGGGTAAAACCTAATGAGTATATGTGTGAGTTCACGTTAGCAAGCCCGCGCGTTAGGTTTCAACATCTCACCCAATCTCCTGTTGTGTTATGCTTCCTGTGACTGCCTAACGCGATGATATTGCCACCAATGCTTGCACTTTATTTTGTCTGCGTGGACAAATTCTGCCAGAAGCACCATCTGCATTTTATTTGTCGATCTTTTTCTCTATATTGTACATGCAGGAACGTTAGTAAGTCAATTGCGTCACCCTTCCACGAAAGTATAATGGCCACCAAAAAGATTCCACATGTCCATTTAAATAGAATCATCACGTAGCAAGCAGTGAAAAAAGCAAAATAATTTTCATAGATATGAAGCTTGTTCTTGCATTCTGTATTAACATACTTGCTTGCTACTCAGTAAAATAGCGAAATTCAGATCAAGTTAAATAAACTCATATTTTCAAAAGCCATCTCGAAGGAGGAGGAGGAAAGAAATAAGCGAAATAAATGGGGGGGTTAGCCACTTAGACCAACTGGCTATTCTTTGCTGGGCAAAGGGGAATAAAATGTCATAAAAAATCATTACCTATCCACGAGATGAATGATGATGAGTAGGGTGAAGCGGACGGACGGACAGCCGAAAGGACAGACGCATGGACGGACGCATGAACGGGCGGAAGCATGGACGAACGCACGGGCGGATGGACGCGTGGATGAATGCAGGGACCGAAGGATGCATGGATAGACGCACGAGATGACGTACGGACGCATGGACAGACGGGCGGAAGGATGTATGGGCGGATGCACGGATGAACGGATGGATGCATGGACGCATGCACAAACTTAGGGACAGACGGATGCATGGACGGACGGACAGATAGACGAGAGGATGGAAAAACGGACGCATAGACGTACACACAAATGGACGCACAGATGGACGGAAGCACGGATGGACGGAAGCAAGAAAGAACGGGAGGACGGAAGCGCGGACGCACTGAAGGACGCTTCGCCCCACTCATCATCATTCACTCGATGGATATGCGGTGATTTTTATTATTTATGACACTAGAAGTACCTCCTCTAGTATCGTGCCATTAGCATTTTTCAACGTATATGCATTTCGTTATATGTACAAGTACCACACTCTACGGCTGGTTCAAGAACTAACGAGAGGTGTCTACATGTGATTACGACAGGACGCTCAGCCCACGCCTTAAGGAACTTCCCCCCTCAAAAAAGTTGTTACAAAAACAGGCAGAGAAGACAAAAGATAACGAAAAAGAAGAAGCAAAATAAGGAGGATATGACACTAATGGCTCTCAGTAAGGCCAGCTGTCCGCAAAGAAACGCAATAAAGCTTTTAAAGCTTTCTGAGCTTAGGATGGGCTCAGCCAATGACCCAGAATCTTTTGTTTCGACAAAGGCCGATCATCTATATCTATAGAGCTTCGGAAGCTCTTGTCTTGGCGCCTTGAAACAAATAGAGTCGCACAGAACGTAAGCTATTGTTTCTTCACTGCTGCATTTATTGCACGTAGAGGTACTAGCCTTTCCAATAAGAAAGGAGTATGTGATCGTGAAGGCCACACCAAGCATCTAATGAGCACAGCAAAACCCGTTTCAGGATATACTCTAGCACACCGAACTTTGTGTTCAGCAATTTGACGACACATGAAAATTCGTCGCAACAGCTATAAAGGGTTCAGCCTGTATCGTGTTTCCGTACTTTTTAGTTGTGATTTTTTATACGCAACCGCAACTTTATTTTATTTAGGTACTATATATACCTCACCTTGTTTACGTCTCTTCTTCCTTTACTGTTACTGATTAGCAGGTGATAGTAGCTATTAACCGGTGGCAATAGTGCGGCAATATTGGCAATAGTGGGAATAGCAACGATGTCCCAATCATAAACGTTTCCTGGAACGATGCAGTTCATCTGAAATATTTCTGGGCTGCACAGATTCTCTAGGAGATTAAAAATTGTAAGATCGTGCGCTAGTGAGTACGTCGTATAGGAATGCTTCACGACAGCACATGAATGGAATATGAAAAAGTCACTGCCGTATCACGCCATCTACGTATACACCATGCGTCACAAAAAAATTCGCTACCAGAGATATTACTGCCATACACCTGTCCAGTTATCCGGCACTGCGAAAAGCTTACTGCATTTACGAACACAGGAAAAGCTTCACACCGGTATTTCCGCCATCGTGTGTAGACTTCTTATCGACGTTCTTGTAATTAGTTGACAACCCGCCAGCTCATCGGCCGCAAAGCAGTGACTCCTGTTTAATAAATAAGTGACATGCGAGACAGACAACTCAGCGTATAAAAAGGTCTCATGCTAAGCGACCCTCCTCCTACCCCCGCCCCATTAAATTGCTTTCAAATTAAATTGTTTCAAAATTACACTAATACATTGTCACGGGAGTGAGAGAATGAATGCAATAAATATATTTACAAAACATACAGGGAGAGTCAGAGACAGCTGCAGC